GAGCAAATAATGTTGCTGACTCATGCCCAAGTTATCTTCCAAATTCGACATTTCGACATTTCCACCAAGGGAGTTGTTTCCAAGGTTTCACTGTCGGCTATAAAAGTGTCTAGGAACAAGACCAGTCAACATAGGGAGCAGCGTGAAGTTCTAGGTGGGTATCCTTGAAGTGCATCCAGCAGTTTGTACTACGAATCTGTGTGGAAAAGACCTGTATCCAGCGCACTTGTTCCCAGCAGCCAGAGGAAAGATATGCGCCATAACGAGGGGAAATCCCGCACGCTAATGGTGATTCTGCTAGCGAAGCCTGAGCACTATAAAGACAATTTTGGCGATTGATCCGTGCTTCTCTGCGGTAGCAGTTTTGAGAGATCACCAAGTGGCCACAAGACGATGGAATCGACCAAAGAATCAAGTAGTAACAGGACGAGGGTTCTGGAAACCACGGAATGCATGAAAAATGCACTTTAAAGCTGGTCCAGCGATCCAAAAAAATAGGCTACTTCTTGATAAGTGTTAGAAAAACGGACCAGCGAAACATCTGTCATTTACTTCTAGGACGTGAGAAAATCGATCATCAAAATAGGTGAGCCGAGATGAATAGTTCAGTGAAAAGTGTGCGACATGAGCTATTTGAACGATAATCTGTGTGCAGGACAAGCCCTCTTTCCGTATTCACCCAGGGGTGTTTGTGTTTGCTCAATTTGGCAGGAATCAGCAAACTGCCTCTTCTAAAACAGTCATTGTTTGTTGCATGAAAGTCTACTTGGCAGACAATGAGCAAAGTCTTACAGGGCGGGGCACGAGGCGGTCGTTTTTGAGTACGTATTGTCTGATGTCGGCCCTGAACAATTGCAATCAGTTAATGATTTTGACTTGTTGAAGTTTAGATCATATTACTTAAAGTTTTCGTCTAAGTGAAAACACCCACAGAGCTCGCGCGAGTGCGCCTCGGAGAATAGGTCCCCAACACATGCGCAAGTCCTTTTGTGTGTGGAGCGCTTTAGCTCGTGCTGCATCATTGTTCCTAAGAGTGAGCCGAAAGCTTGAAAATGGATTTTAAATGCAGTTTCTAGCAGCCATTCTGCCTTACCTAGTGGGATTTTGAGTTTGGCCTTCCACATTGGCATCCATTTCAGAGGCATATAAGTTCAAGCCGTCGAGACAACATCCTAACAAAAAAGCTCAGACTTCTGGCAATGCTATATCTGGCAATTCATTCTAGTGGTAACCGACCTATCAATGAATCAGCTACATCGGCTGGGAGGTCTTTGAGATTGGGTTTCTTTTGATATCTACCAGACATTCGGTACGTGTACTCTTGGATAAGATGTACAGGATCACACGCCTAAAGCAGAAGGGGTACTGAACTTCGTTACAGTGGTCGCTATTCTATGGTCGAGCGGTCATAAAAACTCATCTGAAGAAAGTACTGCCTGAAAAAATCGACACACTGTGACGCGTGATCCTCTGGACGCGCTCGCAACGTACGCCTCCAATTCTCCATCAAGTCGTTCAAGTTTGTTGCATGAAATGAGGACGCTAACATCTCATATGTGCTGCACCAAAAACTGCTCAACTAAAAAGCGGACAAATCTACCTTAAATGGGTACGACTCGCGCACTGCCCACTGCATAGTCAAGTTCCGTGCGTGCAGAAAGAGTTCCATTCGGCAACTTCGGGTCAACATTTCTCGAAGCGACGGCCTCTGCGTGCAAAACTCGATCATGTAACTGTTTGATACACACCATCAAGACGTCAAACTGTAATATGGGACAAATGAACGATTTCGTGTGGTACGAGAAGTTGGCAGTATGATAACTAACAATTGCTGCTATTCCCACGATTGCATCCGAGTGTCTCGCAATTAGGGCCAATTGAGAACGAACGACGGAATCAGATGACTGTGGTACGTCCGCAGAAGCCATTTGCAGCAATTTAGCTTCTTCCAACGTTGACGCGACACTCCCTCGCATGCGCGAAGTGTGTGATAAATTCCTGAAGCTTGCTGTGGAGCGTATTTCGTAAGAGCTTTGTTGATAGAAAAGAAACAGACATTGTAATCTTGACCGGTGTCGAAGTGTGACAACGCTTCCCCTAAGTGCTCCAGCGAGATCTCATTTGATTGAGTTAGTGTGCGCATAACGGCTGCAATGTGAAAATAATCCGCTTTAAAACAATCTCTCAGTCGAACATGGGGCTAATTAAAACCTTGCGGTAAGGATGGACGACCTCGTGTTCGCCCTCCTAACGTGCCCTGCGTGCTCTGGTAGTGGGGAGCTCCCTTGGCGACATGAATGTTCTCACTGTCTGCAAAACCAAACGGCGGCTCAGCAACATCAATTGTGATAATCTCTATAAAATGACGACCTTGCGGTGTAATCAATCCAGTTGTTCCACAATTTTGGAGTTCTTGGGATCCTGTAGACAGTTGAGATAAAGCAGGAGATGGAGCTATTGGAGGAGTTGCCGAGCATCCTCTGAGGGAATTCACCGAAACTGTATTCGACATGGTACTTGGACTAGACAAATCTTCGAGGACGTTCTCGCATTCATCCATACGGTAGTCTGGAAAAATTGGATGGTAAGAGTTTCCGGCACTTCTATGTACAACTTGCTCTGCTTACGACATACCATTCACTGATTCACCGTCGGCAGATGTGCTATATGCCCCAGCGATCGCTCCACTCAATTCATCAGCGATTGGACTGTACACAGGGGATTTTGATCCACTCATATTACCTAACTGAATCTTTGGACTATCATTTGGCATTGCTTACAAACTGGCGAATGTAAATTCGCGGTATATACCGTCCGTAGAATTCGAAACATTTTAACCATTCCTTTAATCTGTCATCTTGCTCTAACGCAGAGGTGAGGTAATGCATAGATACATAGCGCAACATAAAAAGGATCAGCTTCGAGATTGAACCAGTACACGTCATAAGAGTACATACGAATTCATACGAGATCGTGAGTCTAAAATTAAGGCAAAATATTATGAGGCACTTCCGATAGGAAGCATTGGTGCGTTAGCGACTATGCTTTTTCCGCAAAAACTGGTTGTTCTCCTGCTCCGTAGAAAAATCGTTGATCTTTTCCTGCTCCCGAAATGAAGCTCGTTCCAACTGTTCCCCTGCTGCCAAAAAACCATTAGAGATCGCACTTGATGAGGAACCGCCACCCGCTCCGCGACACGCCCTACCATACTACCGGGAAAGCCTGAAGCCAATCAACTTCAAGAGACTGCAGGGTTCGAATGAGGCGAGAGGACGGAATTCGAACAACCTAAACAAGAACTGAATTTAAACCCTTTGTGGCATCGCACTTGATGAGTAGTGCATTGAGCTATACGGAGCTGCAGGCGTCGATGCATACTTTCAAAGACACTTGCGGTCCATTGATACAGTGTTCCGACGTCGTATATATCTTCCAAGGGCGCATGGTCGACAAAGCACTGCAGAGTGGAATTGGTTACTAAGACACTTCCATTCACCTATGCAAGGAGGACACTACGACACTCACATGGACTTTCAGTGTGAACAAAGTCGGTTCGACTGCGTACCACAAGTACTTCATCCCTCTAGCCAGTTCTTGCACTCCAGGGAGGTCATCTACTGTGAGCTCTGGGCTTCTCTCAATGACACGCACAAGGATCCAGTATGCGAGCACGCGCGACAGCACCCACTGGGTCAGCACAAATGTTCAGAGCGCCGCGAGAGGGAATACCACGAAAGAAAGCTGAAATGCACTTTGAGACTCGTAGAATGGACTCAAGCCTTAGAGAACACCACTGTGACAGTTTCCACTTACAGCGTCCTTCTCAGATCCGGTGGCACCCGAAAGATCTTCAAGTCCAAGAACGAACTTATCAGCGTATGTGTAGTTGCGAGTGGCGGCTATGATGCGGGAACTCCTGCACGCAGTCCGAACGTACTTTCATCGCGGGCACGCGCGTTTGCGGAGAAAACATGGCTAAAGTGATCATTTTAGATAGCTACAGGGATAGAGAACGCAAGCAGCGAGGTAACCTTTTGAATATGTCGCAAGTGATGCCCTCTGATATCACATGCAGCGCATCCGGTATGCATTCATGCACCATTAAGATGTCCCATCGATCTAAGATGTCCATCATCTGCGTCCGACCTGTACAGAATGTCTACTACAGATTACTTATGTTGCTTAATGCCAACAGCTGACCTCTTACGCCTTGAGAGCGCGAGATCGCATCTTGAGTCAGCGAAGTCAGCGAAATGAGGTAGTTTCACAGCGCTTAGAACTCGCTTCCTGCAATGATGTGTAGCGGCGTACTTGTGAGGGTACATGTGAACTCGGGCAAAAAAAAACGGGGAGCACGCCTACCCCGCTATGAATTTCTCTGTGAAGTTGAACGAGAGTTGGAAGAACGTTGTTGAGAATCAGCGACAGTTGAGGTTCGATTTCTAAGAAGTGGATCACTGTTCTCTTCATGGCTTTGCACCGCTTCGGAGGAATGCTACAATGAAACTAGCTAAATCAGAATGAGTACAGCTGGTCAATTTGAGGACCGACCCTTGGATTCGCACATTCAGGATTCACACAGACTGCCTTAGATCCACTCAGACGTGAGTCGCAAGGGTTGCAGTAGAAGAACTTGGTGTGACCGAAGCGCTGGCGGGCATCATGCATCATTTTCTTGATTGATTTGTTCATCTTAACGAAATTTTTGTAACATTATTTTTATCATTGTTGAGAGTGTGTTGTTTTCATATTGTTTTTTTTTGTTTGCGTTGATCTATTTAATGTTAGTGCAACAGAATGAGCAACAAAAAAAGGCGAAAAGTCAAACAAAAAAATCTTTCAAAAAACGCAATTCATGAAAATGAAAATAAAACGGAAATCGATCGGATAAACACATTGACGACAACCATTTGTTAGTGTTCCCCGGCATTTTTTTGACCAGTACCCCGGATCGACACACCCTCGCTTCCCCCTCTGCAGACTTGGCCTCCCTCCTCCTCACATCATCCTCCTTCTCTCTCAACACTGTTCCCCAGCTGCAGCTGCATTGAGAGATAATGATTGAAAGTGTGCTATATTAAAGGCAAAAGTCGGGCTCAATAAGGGGGTATTATGGCGATTGAAACTGAGTATAGAGATGCGAAGTGGAACGACAGTGGAGAAAAAACTGAGAAAAACCGTCGACAAGGCCGTTAACAAAACCCTCTTTCCCACTAGCAGTGAAGGAGGCTGGCTTGGGAAAGAGGCACGTACAAACAAGTTTTCTGGAGATGTCAGTCGTTCTATCGGTTGATACGGCAATCAACCTAGCTGATTTCACACGTTATGCCAGCCACGCACCACATCCCGAGGTGGGCGGTCGTAGCGGGGCAGGCGGCGATAGCGCATAGTACATGCCCTGGGGCCTTATTACTGCGCCGTTTCGGATTTTGAGTGTGGGAACATCTCTACGGGTGCGTAACCAAGTACAGGCATGACCGAAAGGGTTGGTTTGGTCAACTAATCCCGACCTTTGCCTTTAACTAACTAACTGTTCTATAAATGCTCATACAGCGTTGCGGTGCTATCACGTTGCAATACTACCTCGACACAAGATCGAACCGTAATCTTGAAAGCAGTGAACCCCCTCTCTCTTTCTCCCCTCATGCCCATTCCCTTTCCCCGTTCCCCTCTTCTGGCCTCCCCACCATGGATGGACAAGACGTGAGACACAAGAAACTGACACACCGAAATTCTGGTTTCATATAATGAACCGATTCTTAAGAAATTAGCACTACTTATTCAAGAGTTCGTTAATAGCAATTAGTAGACCCAGTGTTGGAACCTCCTAACAACCTACGAGACTAAGTAAATCGACTAAACGATAACTATTCGTATGACATGTTGTCGTCAATGTGTTTAATCACACTTCGTTCTAAAACCCTGAAAGCAACAAAAAGAAAGTTGACTGACCGGCTCAGGAACTGGTGCACCAAGCAAAGCCAAAAATCGTCCAAAAAACTTGCCATTTTTTCGCTTACCCCGAAATGCAATTTAAAAGCGGCACCATAGATAACCTGCTGTTGGAACGCTGAAAACATTAATACTTTTAAGAAATACCATGATAACAGGCTGACGTACACAGCAAAAGTGTTTCACTCACTCGGATGCGGATTAGGAATCCTTGCCTCGCCCTGGACATCGACCACATTTTCTTCTTGGACTTCGTCAGCAGCTTCTTCAACTTCTTCTGGGTGTTCAGCCCCGGGTCTCTCTAATTCAACCACCATAGGCTCTTCGCCGACTTCCCGTATCCTGATCCGGAGCTTGTTCAGCATTGAGCTCAGCGAGCTGATAGGCTAATTCCACCACTCCTGCTGAATATCGACGTTATGGATCAGGTCAGTATTGATCACAGCTAGACAAGTGATTCTACGGGAGATGATAACAGGCTCACCACCCCTCGCTCTCAATGATTGACTTCTTCTTAACGGTCTCGGCATCTTCACTGACGGCTGCGATAGCTCTTCGTCGACGTCACGTGAACAAGAAGGGGAGTCAAAGGTTCGCTTTCGGCCCATAAAAAACACCTATACCTAACCTAGCTAGTCAATCGTGATTTCTTTAACAGACGTCACTGACATCACAGTTGGACTATGGAGTAATTGCGGTCACGAAACCCATACAGCAACGAATCAGAAGTTGAAAAATGTTTATTCATCCAAACACAAGCTAGGCAATCGTGCGAAGCCATTTTCTGGGAGAGTTGCTGTGGAAAATAGACGGACTCGATCCCCATTCCCCTCAGAGTTAGCGGTTATGAAGGGAAAGTTAGGAGAAGAATAGTAAATATTAGTGAGTCTCGGGAATACTTCCTGAACCTCGGCCGCACACCTGAACAAGGATTTGTTGTTGGATTCAGGTAAACAATTTCAATGTGATAGTCTCCAAAATGCGTACAGTGACACAGGCCGGCTCAAAAATAAGTGCTCCATACAAGCAAACCGTGATGTTTTCATGGCATTCAGATCCATTGTCAACAACCTGAAGAGGACCGCTAAGGCAGAAGAGATAAAAGTTACAATAACATCAAGAGGGGCACCTGTTCTCTCTGCAGTCCAGGCAATCGAGAGCTGGGAACATTTTCGCTAGGGTCGGCCAAGGGTGAACCAGCTGGTTATTACGAAGGCAAACATATCTGACGCAAGTGGTGCCTGGATGGATGCATTCGAGGTCTTGATCGGTAAGATCGCAGCTTTCGAGATGTAACGTCTACAATTGCTTGACGTATTAAACTTTACTACGAGGCGGAATAACCCTCCAATCTGACATCTACCTCCAACAGTCGGTAGCTCCACAGATTCCGAAGCGCTTCGAGGGCAGCTGCCTTGTCGTTCCTTATCAGTATATCCACCACAGGACCCGACATTCTGTGTTACAATCTATTCCCCAAAAATGAAAAATTCGTCGTGGAATGACAGCTTCCTCCATCATCCTTTACGAGCCGAAGATGAAGAAGAAGTGAAGGCTATTCAAGACGAAGTGAGGGGCATGATCGATGTCATGGTTCAACGAAGACTCTTCATTATCTTCTGTTCATAGATCAAAGCACCAACTCAACAGCAATCGTAAGTGTACAAGAGTTGGAATAGACATCGATTATGAATGAATGAGACAGATATAGCAGTGTGCAAACGTCAGTTTAGACAAGAAACCTTCGAAACACTGAAAGCATTTCCGGACTTAGAATTAATTTCGATGTGACCTTCTCATGGCAGCACTACTGCCTGCCGCACACCCCGTGCTAGCATTGCCGAACTGCTGCCGTGCTGCTGCAAACATGGTGTAAGCGTACGTTAATTTTGGGTTCTACATACTTGAACTCAGTCCTTTGGGGACGCTGGTATGCCACCCTTACAGGCGCTCATTCTTTCTAATACAGTGTTCATGACTACAGTTTCGTATTTTTCAATGCATGAAAACGAGATCACGCACTCAAATTGAAAGCCTCCCCCTTGACCATGCCTCAGCCTTTAAAAAAATAATGTATTTAGGAGTGGAACAAAGTTACGAGTCATATCAAGTAAATGAGGATTTTCTCAAGCTAAGCAGAGTGGAAAGAGTCCCGAGGTGTGTGGCCAACTTTTCACGGGGTTCAAATACTTCCTAGAACATCTGCTCATCTCAGGTTGCGAACGTTAAAAATGGGGAGACAGCCAGCCCAGTAACGAGTTCGACAATGCAGCATTCAATTTCACGGTGATTGGAAATTAAATCCATAGCAAATTCGATTAATTGCCCTGAGACTCAGTATTAATGCCTCTCAAGCGAACAATACCTTCTCATAACCGAAAAAGTCTACCAAATGTATGATGGAGCGATCAACGAAATTTTGATGGTCCTAGGAGGGAGGTCGAAATACTTCTTAGGAGGGGTCGAAATACTAATAATCTCTTAACCGGACTGTAATATGGCCACCTTCGGCCTAAGGTTTTCGAGCAGGAAGCCAGGTCGTGAAATGCATAAAAGATCGAAGTCGGGTTCAAAAAAAGAAACGCGGAAGCTATTATGCCCAGTGCAGAAGTTGTTAGATTCTAAGGCAATATCGATAAACCCGACTGAACCACACGATTGTGACAGCATGTAGAGATGAACCCGTCTGGACCACACAACTGTGACAGCATATAGAGAAATCTCTTATTAAGAGAAATCTCTTATGCAATCTATTACGCTACTGCAATAGCATACGAGATTTCTCAGTGTTCTATATAATGATAAAACTTGTTGGAAAAACTCACGAACTAAAAACTTGTTGGAAAAAACTCACGTTGAACGTTTGACAATCCTCCTGTGGAAGCCAGAATGAATATTAGTTCATAGAAGTCAGAATGAATATTGGTATCTATTATCCATAAATCGCAAAATCATCAAATCATCAAACTGCGGGGATGAAAGAGAGTACCCGAAATCAGCAAAATCATCGAATCGTAGAGTTGTGGGGGATGGATGAGAGTACCCGAAAGTCAGCAAAATCATCGAATCGTAGAGTAGTGGGGGATGGATGAGAGTACCCGAAATCAGCAAAATCATCAAATCATCAAACTCTGGGGGATGGATGAGAGTACCCGAAATCAGCAAAATCATCGAATCGTAGAGTTGTGGGGGATGAAAAAGAGTACCCGAAGTCAGCAAAATCATCGAATCGTAGAGTAGTGGGGGATGGATGAGAGTACCCGAAATCAGCAAAATCATCAAATCATCAAACTCTGGGGGATGGATGAGAGTACCCGAAATCAGCAAAATCATCGAATCGTAGAGTAGTGGGGGATGGATGAGAGTACCCGAAATCAGCAAAATCATCAAATCATCAAACTCTGGGGGATGGATGAGAGTACCCGAAATCAGCAAAATCATCAAATCATCAAACTCTGGGGGATGGATGAGAGTACCCGAAATCAGCAAAATCATCAAATCATCAAACTCTGGGGGATGGATGAGAGTACCCGAAATCAGCAAAATCATCGAATCGTAGAGTAGTGGGGGATGGATGAGAGTACCCGAAATCAGCAAAATCATCGAATCGTAGAGTTGTGGGGGATGGATGAGAGTACCCGAAATCAGCAAAATCATCAAATCATCAAACTCTGGGGGATGGATGAGAGTACCCGAAATCAGCAAAATCATCAAATCATCAAACTCTGGGGGATGGATGAGAGTACCCGAAATCAGCAAAATCATCGAATCGTAGAGTTGTGGGGGATGGATGAGAGTACCCGAAGTCAGCAAAATCATCGAATCGTAGAGTTGTGGGGGATGAATGAGAGTAACCGAAATCAGCAAAATCATCAAATCATCAAACTGTGGGGGATGGATGAGAGTCACCCGAAATCAGCAAAATCATCGAATTATCGAACTGTGGGGGAAGGATGAGATCACCCGAAATCAGCAAAATCATCAATGATAAAAATAAAAACAAAAAAACCATGAAGGAGGGGGGAGTGACGAAGAAGCGCCCCCTGCGCTCAGCCGACTGCGATCAATACCGGCTGTCACGTGCATTTCGAAATGCTGCATACTGTAGCATTCGTTCCGGGACCCAGCCATTGCCCGCTGTGGGGCACTGCCACTACAGCCTCTGGCCGTATTTCCTGCTAACCATTCTTTGGCAGGACAGCCGGGCAGCGGCATCTGGCAGTGATGGGGACGAGAGTACCAAGGCAGCAGTAAGGCAGCGCATGGCAGTACTTGCGAAAGCTGTGACGTCACAGCAAATTAATTGTTCCCGCCAATCGAGTGTCCCGCGGTAGAAATCGCGGAGGGACCCTCATTGGTCCCGGCACGATTATCAGCAGTACGACAGACTTCCGTACAATTGTCAGTAGTGCCGCCAACCTCACTACGGCAGGAGGGTGGAGCCAACCAATTGGAGATGAGCGGCTCGTCTCCTATTGGTTGACGCTTCCAGCTGCAGGAGAGGTCAGTAGCTACTGCTCTCACGGAGCAGTAGCAGGTCCGAGGCAGATGTCCGACGCCCCGCCCTCGTCCCGCCCCCACCCCAAATAGACCAATCACAGTTCTGGGGCGGGGTTGCAGCATATGCTGCCAAGCGCCGGAGTTTGAATTTCGGCCGCAGCACTCCTGTCTTGATGCCCTACGCATTATATCCTTCTATTTTATAAAGCGCTAACTTTGTGTGTCGGTTTGTGTATCTGTATGTGTGTGTGTGTGTGTGTGTGTGTGTATGTATGTGTGTCCGTCCGCAAAATGAAGTGAGTGAGAAGGAAGCTCATGGGATAAACAAACCGCTAACAAATCGGGTAGCTTACAGGATTTGAGATATCAATGTTTTGTAGGATAGTTGTGATAACACTCTTAGGGCTATATAAACACCTGCTTAGCACACTTCCGTTCATTCCACATGGTGCTGCAGTGGCAGCTGGAGGGCAGTGGAGAGAGGAAGGGATGAGGAAGGGAAGCGAAAATCTACCGTCATATCATGATTGTGTCCCTTCTACTGTTTGAAACACCATTGTGTTGCATACGCGTCACTTCCAGGAGGTGTTGGTGTCACAGGAGGAAGGGACCATAGCGGAGGATAGAAAGCTTGCGCAGGAAAGGAAGGTCCCGGCGGTTGACGGGGGACTAATCTGGGTATAATAAACACTAATCATCCGAGCTCCATGCAATGCTAGCTTTTTACGAAGTCATGATAAGTGTAATTTTTCATCGCATGTTAACGCGCGCATTTACGACTACAATCTCCAGCAAATTGACGGCCTTGAGATCACTGAACACATCTTACTGTTATTTAATCAGCCACGTGACCTAATATTCAGCAAGTTGTACAGCTTCACCACCCTACCAAGGGATGCGCGCTGTTGGTGCGTGCGGAGCTAAATGGTAAATAAATAAGTAAAAAAATAAAGTCGTGATTGCGTTACCTAACTGCGTTGATAACCATAAGAGCGTTCATATTTACAAGCGTTATATTGGGGGGAGACGGGACATTGTTGGTGGGTGCCAGAAACTGATAACAATTGATAAGTGCTGATAAGGCGCGTCAGAAAGCAAAAGTCGTCAATTCCGTTACGCAGCGTTGACACTAGAGCGTTCCTACTTACAAATTGTAGTAAGTCGTAGTAGTACAAACAAAGGTACGTGCACATTATTTCGATATATATCCAGCTTACTTAATAGAATTCGACTGCATAAACTTTAAAAAACAAGTCTTCAGCAAATGATAAGTTTCATTTCTGACTATTAAGAAAACCCAAACTCATTAAACCGCTAATCCTTTCGTGGTTCTAAATAATGATGAATGTAAATGAATGATAAGCATTAGCTCCTCACTTATGTAAATAGGCATATTTCGTTTTGATTTTGAGACTGACAGCAATCCTATTCACCGCTAAATTATCTTAATTCAAGAAAATGCGTATAGGATACATTATGACCATATAATCATTAAATACTAAACGATGCCCTAAAATGAGCCTATGGATAAGAGGAGTGGTGAAAATAGAATACCACGAAATAAGGGAGGTCTGCCAATCAAGGTGGATCGGGAACTGCTTCTAAATTGTGTAGTAATTAGGAGACAAGCGGGATCAAATCCCCGGATCAATCGACGATTTCGCGTTCTGGCGCATCTTATCAGCCCTTATCAATCGTTATCAGTTTCTGGCACCCACCAACAATGTCCCCGTCCCACCCCACATAACACTTGTAAGTATGGTTGCTCTGGTGTCAACGCGAGCCAGGCAACGGAATCGACGACTTCAGCGTTCTGGCGCGCCTTATCGGCCCTTATCAATCGTTATCAGTTTCTGGCACCCACCAACAATGTCCCCGTCCCACCCCACATAACACTTGTAAGTATGGTTGCTCTGGTGTCAACGCGAGCCAGGCAACGGAATCGACGACTTTTGC